AAGGGAAAAAAAGACGACGTATTTCCTATCCTGATACTAAAAAAAATTGGACTGTAGATTCTGCAAAAAATCTGGTCTGTGGGTGATTTACTCTGATTACAAGTCCCTGAATTTTTTCAAATATTTAGGACTTGCTTGTATTTCATGTTTATTGAGGTTCTGGCAGCACATATATTTGTGTACCATATGAGTGCAATATATTCAGATGACTGGAATAGGGGCACAGACATCATGGATCTAGAGTTACAGACAGTTACTATCAGTCATGTGGTTGCTAGGAATCAAACCCATGTCCTCTGGAAGTGGAGATAGTGCTTCTAACCTCTCTCTCTCTCTCTCTCTCTCTCTCTCTCTCTCTCTCTCTCCCCGTGTGTGTGTGTGTGTGTGTGTGTGTGTGTGTGTGTGTGTTGGCATATATGTCCTTTGAAATTTAGCTCTTTCCATAGTTCTACTGCCCAGGAAATCATAGTTTTTCATGAAAGTCAGGAAGAACATTCCGTATTTTTGATTCTAGTGTGGGGAATAGGACAGAGTTTTAGGATTTAGAAAAAAATATATGGTCCCTATCAAAAATACCACATTGAGTTTAAATCCTGCCAAAGAGAAACAGCAGCAGAAGTTAGTGAACACTGAAAGAACAATTAGGGTATCCTTGACTCTCACTTCTGCTTCTTGGGTGGTTTATGTCATGACTTGAATCACTGTGGGAGGATAGCTATAACCCTGTTGACAGTAATAATTTGCCACATCTTCAGGCTGCAGGCTGCTGATCTTGAGAGAATACTGTGTGCCAGATCCACTGCCACTGAACCTTGATGGGATGCCATCTGCCAAGTTGCTTGCAGCATAGATCAGGAGCTTAGGATGTTCCCCAGGTTTCTGCTGATACCATGCTAAATTACTGTAAATGCTCTGACTTGACTGGCATGTGATAGTGACACTTTCTCCCAGTGATGCTGACAGGATGTCTGGAGACTGAGTCATCTGAATGTCACATTTCACACCTGAGATTTGAAAATTGAAAACAAATCTTCAAACAATTAGTTTTGTTATAAAAGGATTTCCCAGAGACCAGGCAGGACTAACAAGAGTCAGATGAATGAATTTCCATTTCTCTCTTCCTTACCTGTAAGCCAAAGCAGCAGCAACCCCAGGAGGTGAGTGTGGGCCCTCATGTCTGTTCTGTGACTGGTGTGAAGCTGACTACAGCACAGGATGTGACCTGATTATAAAGAAGTTTTCAGGGCTGTGGGCTGTGTTCTGGGTGCATGCAAATCAGCAATGGCTGGGCACAGGTGCAGGGCTGTTGAGGTCAATGATTCATTAAATCCCTGTGGTTCTCCTACGTCTCAGATAAGACAGGCTGCTCCAGTCTATGTATTCCACCTTATTTTCATTTCTGTAATTTTAAAAATAGGATTTCCTGTTCCATTTCCTTCAATTTCAGGTATTATGGCATATGGTATAATTCTCAGCAGTAGACAAATTATTACATGTTCCTTTCATAGATATGTATAAATGTTATTACTGTAGTTCAGGTTTATATTTTTGTTTACTCTTTATATGTGAGACTGAATTTTAGTTATAATATCACTCTTTTATCTTTCCTCCCTCTAAAATACCCAAAATATGCCAGGTGTTGGTGGGGCACGCCTTTAATCCCAGCACTTTGGAGGCAGAGGCAGGTGGATTGCTATGAGTTTTACACCAGAGTTGTCTCCAGAGTGAGTGCCAGGACAGGAGAGGATCCAAAGCTACACAGAGAAACCCTGTCACGAAAAAACAAAATTTAAAAAACAAATACCCAAAACACCTCTTCCTGCTTGTCTTCAAATTCATGAACACATTTAGTTTCATTAATTGTTATATATTAGTCCATGGACTGATTATTGATGTGCTCTTGCATGGGGAGGAACAGATCTTCATCCATGAGTTTATTCAGTTCTCTGTAATTCTTCATGAAGAATTGAAGCCTCATGAATTTTTTCCCAACCAGTCTTCCAGGTCCATTGGTATCCTCCTTGTTCAACTCACATTTGTGCATGTTGGTGAGATTTTAGTGGTATAGATTTGGATACTAGTAATAGATACAAGCTTAGAGCCAACTCCCTGGTATTCTGGCACTTTATGATCTTTTTACTCTCTTATTCAAAATGTTCCCCAAAACTATATCTATTGGAACTGTTCTCCACAACTACCAAGCAGCTTCTTGTTCATGATTATTCCCATAAGGGGAAAAATAATATTGGAAGACATGTTTTGTAAATAAAGACAGGATCTTGTGTAACTAACATTTTTTTTCAGGCATGATACTAATCCCCCTGTCCAGGAAGGTCATTGTTCAAGGATAGTGTCCTAGGGCAGGTCTTTCTCAATCTACAAAACTTGGATTTCTTAGAGCTTGTTTGAAAGACAGACCCATTTCCACAGTGCTGTATATTCTACAAAATGCAGTAAGAAACTATCATCAATTTTCTGTACCCCCAAAAAAGTGACAAACAGTACTGCTTTCATTATTTACTTCTTCCAGATAAAGACAGAGCTCATTACTAATGATAGCTTACTCTGAGGTAGAGCTCTTTTTCCTTAATATATTGGAAACAGTTGTGAAATTATCAATTCTTAAAGTGCTATTCATAAGAGACACCTGTTATTTTGTGCCATGGGTATTGGAGGAGTAAGAGACTTTCTCCTTCTTTATAATGTAACAGAGTTTTCAGGGCAAATATGCATTTACTGAATTTTAATCCACCATTTAAAAAACAAATCTCACACATCATGGTGCATTCTCTGCTTAGAGCCTTAAGGCATCCTGGGGCACCTCTATGAGTTCCCATCACAAAGATGGTGCCTCATCATCAAAAACAGTGTGTTAATATTTTCAACCCTTAAAACTGTAAGATTGGAATCCCTCACTCCTCAGCTGCATAGTTCAGCTTACGTTGCCTCATGAAATTAAGGTGGGTGTTGAATATATGTAAGTGATTGGATTTATGATAGTACTTAGTTTTTATGTATGTAATGATATCCAAATATCACTGAAGAAATTGAATAAATTATTAACCCTAGAAACTATAGTCTTGATCTCCAAAGACTTGAACATGTTATGTAGAGATACTTATCAAGGCTTGGTTGATTCTCTGGTGCTTCCATAGACCCTAGAACTTATCTGACACTGAAAAAGTGGGCCATCTAACCATTGTCTCCACATTTCCATGGAAGTCCCAGGTAGGGTGTTGATCATCTTAGGAGCATGCAGTATATTTGTGGGTGCTTTTCTTGTCTTGCTCTTTATCCATGTCTGCCTAAGGTGCAGGTGAACATCTAATACTCACTTTCTAATTTCACATCTCTTGGGTGGTTACTCATTCACCATTTCTATGGGAAATCATAGAAAGAAAAGAGACGCTGACAATGGGACATCTAGAAGACATAACAATGAAAGAGAACCTGGGGAATTAAATTATTGTATCACTGTTGCCGCAGGACTCAGATTTTCCACAGCTAGACCCCAGTACCAGAAACTACATGTACAGGTTTCCACAATAGATCTGTAGTTTATTGGGTCTATTCTATTGCTGTGAAGGCATAACATGACCAAGCCAACTCTTATAGATGGAAGCACTTATCGGGGACTTATTTACAGGTTAGTTAACTTTCCTTCTATTAGGGAGCATGGCTGGCTGTACACAGGCAGATGTGAGAGCCAAGAATTCTACATCTGGATAAATAATCTGTCATAAGATAGAGAAACAGTCTTCCTGGGCTTCTGAAAGATCAAAGTCCATCTACAAGTGACACACTTCCTCCAAAAAGGCCACATCTTAGTCATTTCAAATAGTGCCACTCTGTAGATATCAAACACGTGTATATATATATATATATATATATATATATATATATATATATATGTGTGTGTGTGTGTGTGTGTGTGTGTGTGTGTGTGTGTGTGTTTAATAATTTACATTAAGATGATTGTCGAGTCTGCTCACGGGACAGCAGGCAGACTCCAGCAAACCCAGAGTGTGAGAAGGCACTGGTAACAGGCCTGCCTCCATCCACAAGAAGAGGACTGACATCAGAG